TATGTCATAGTTGCCCATCCTTCTAGTTGTTATATGTGGGATGCAGCCTCAGCATGGCCCGAGAAGCAGTGCGTCGGTGCGCGCCCGGGATCCCAACCTGGGCGGCCAGTAGCGGAGCACACGCACTTAACCGCTAAGCCAGGGGCCGGCCCTCGAAACCTCATTTAAACAATACTCAGCAAAGGTTTAAAATAAATGGACTTATAAAGACAAAAAAGAGTAGGAGAAGAGTAAACAGCAGGGGAGAAAAGTCACTAAAATTTTTGGAAGATGCAAAGCATACAGACAATTGGTTAGAGACAGATTTCAGTTTTTTTTGTGTTTTCTAATGGGAGTGGAAAGGGTGTGTGGGAGGAGAAGTTGATAAGAAGAAAATCAAATCCAGGCAAAGTAATGATTCATACTGAGGATCCAGGGAGAGGCTGAAAATCTGTATGAGGAATACTTGTATCTGAGAATTCTTTCCCCAGTCAGTGGAGCAAGGTGCCTTTCCTTTTCTCATAGCAGCAGAAAATGGGAAGTATACTATCTGTAGAGGTTACATAGATAGGGCTCTGGACTGAGGGACACCAGCGCCACTCAGGGCAGGACTGAGACCTTATTGAGAAGAGGATTAAAGAAATTCTACCTACTGATTAGGACCCCCTCTCCAACCAAGGAGCTCTCAGAGTGCTGGGTGCCAGCTTTATAACACCTTCTACCACCACCCACATTCTTATTGAATTCCTCTCTGGAAAACAACATAGACCCAAGAGAAAAGACTTAGAGATATTGACTTTTGGTCCCCCCAAAAAATGTTGTTTCCTATTTCATTATGCTAAGGTGAGATCCATCACCCAAACATACAGGTCTAATCAGCTTTTTAGTGCCTCATGAAAAAATAAAGACAGACAGCCAAGCAGCATCATACATATAAGGAAAGTCTCTAACATGAAGGCAGACACCAGACAAAGAAGATAAAAGTAAATCAGAAGAAAAACGAAGTGCTAGGATCAGAAGAAAAATTTTAAAAAACTAAAATTAATATCTTCAGAGATTTAAGAAAAGACCTAGTCTCTGTGATATAATAAAAGGCTACAATAGATGGACCAAAGACCTAAATGTAAGGGCTGAAACTATAAAACTCTTAGAAGAAAACATAGGTGTAAATCTTCATGACCTTAGATTAGGCAATGATTTCTTAGGTATGACACCTAAAGCACAAGCAACCAAAAAAAAAAAATAAGTAAATTGGGCTTCATTAAAAAAAAAAACACTTTTGTGTTTCAAAGGATACTATCAATAAAGTGAAAAGACAACCCACAGAATGGGAGAAAAGATTTGTAAATCATATATCTGATAAGGGTCTAGTATTCAGAATAAAGAACTACTCCAACTCAACAATAAAAAGACAAAAATCCAATTTAAAAAAATGTGCAAAGAATTTGAGTAGCTATTTCTCCAAAGAAGATATTCAGATGATCAACAAGCAAATGAAATGATGGCCAATATCATTAATCATTTGGGAAATGCAAATCAAACCACAATGAGATACTACTTCACACCTGCTAGGATGGCTATAATCAAAAAGTAAATAACAAGTGTTGGTGAGGATGTGGAGAAATTGGAATCCTCATACACTGTCAATGGGAATGTAAAATGGTACAGTTACTTTGGAAAACATCTAACAATTCCTCGAAAAATTAAACAGAGTCAGTGTATGATTCAGCAATTCCAATTCTAGGTATATACCCAAGAGAACTGAAAACATGTGTCCACATAAAAACCTGTACATGAATGTTCATAGCAGCATTGTTCATAATAGCCAAAAAGTGGAAACAAACCCAAATGCCCAACTGATAAAATGTGGTACATCAATACCACATTATATTATTCAGCCATAAAAGGAATGAAGTACCAATACATGTGACAACATGGATGAACCTTGAAAACGTTATGCTAAGTGAAAGAAGAAAGATGCAAAAGGGTACATATTGTATGATTCCATTTATGTGAAATGTCCAGAGCAGGAAAATCCATAGAGACAAAAAGTTGATTAGTGCTTGCCACGGGCTGGAGGGAGGAAGGAATGGGAAGTGACTGCTAATGGGTACCAGGTTTCTACTTAGGGTGATGAAAATGTTCCAGAATTAGATAGTGGTAATGATTGTAAAACCTTTTGAATATACTGAAAACCACTGAACAGTATGCTTTAAAAGGTAAATGTTAGGGTATGTGAATTATATATCAATAAAAAATTAAAAACTAAAAGGCTACTTTAGAAAGAAACATTCAGAGAACAAGAAAGAGCTTTTTGAAAGGAAAACTATGATAGCAAACATTTAAAACTCAATCAGAAGATTAAAAATGTAGGTTGATAAAATCTATAGAATCCAGGAACATAAAGACAAAAGATAGTAAATAGAGAAAGGTTAAAAAAAAAATCAGCCCAGGAGGTCACTATGTAACTAACAGGAGTAACAGAATAAGAAAACAAAGAACATTGAGTAGAGGAAATAATTTTTTAAATTACACACACGAAAAACCTCCAAATCCTGTTCTAGTCTGAAGAACATGTGTCACAAGATTAACAAAGCTCATTGAGTACCTAGCACAATGGATGACAAAATTCTTACACTATGACAAATAATCAAGAAATTCTAGAACACTGAGATAATACATAACAATCTAATTTAATCTAAGGTAAGGCTTCTCAGCCTCAACACTTTTGGCATTTGGGGCCAGATAATTCTTTGTGGGAGGCTGTCCTGTGCATTGTAGAATGTTTAGCAGCATCCCTGGTCTCTACCCACTATATGCCAGTAGCACCACATCCTGCAGTTCTGACAATCAAAAATGTTTCCAGACATTGCCTAATGTTACTGGGTGACAAAATTGCCTCTGGTTGAGACCCCGGGATCCAGAGGGAAAAACAGGTCTCAGAAAAGAATGGGTGATCAGAATATTGAACATCTCAACATTGGAGATTAGAAGACAATGAAGCAATGCCTTCAAAATACAAGCAGTGTATAATTCCTAACCTATAATTCCACACCCAACAGAATCATCAAATCAACGTTTGATTTCATGATATCTGAAATTTACAGATGTTCAAGTTCTCAATTTGTCACCAAATATTCTTCAGGAACTCGAGGGAGTAAATGAAAAAAGAGGGAGACATAAAGTCCAGAAAATGAAATCAAACACAGGCGAGAGAGAAAAGAAATTCCCAGGATGATGGATAAAGCAGTCCCAAACTGCCAGCCCTGCAAAAGGTCTAGAGAGCAGATAGTACACAACTGAGCAGGAGTCTGGATTGCTTCAGGATGGCTCCAAGAAAAACAATGGAACTGAGAGATTTCTTGATGGGTTTAATAATACGAGGAGCTTTACACTTTATAAAGTACGAGGATAACTTAAAAATATGTACATAGAAAAGTAAGGAAAGTGAAAACTTAGGCAATTATTAATTTAAGGGTAAAGAAAAGAAATAAAATCTCAGCGTACCGTGAGATTCAGGTGTAAGCGATATTTACATACATAATTATATAAACACTATTTAAACAGAATTACGATATTGGTATGAGAGGGGATGGAGTAGAGGAAATGTGTGTGTTGTGCCACTTAAAAAAAAAGTAAATGGATAATATCTAAAACTGAAATTTGAGAAAAAGCATTTTATAAGCATATTATTTAGAAATATGGAAGTAAATATGGAAAAAAAACAATTAAAATCTTTAAAAGTTGTTACCTCTAGACAGTCAGACTTGAATAAAATTGAAAAAACTTGTAGCATTGTATTACAAATTAAAATTTTAAAACATAAAATGTCTAAACAATTATGGGGATTATCCTTTTAAAATACATTGTAAATATTATAAACATTGATAGGGTAATTTTATATAACAAAAGTATAAAGTAAGATGAGGAGAGGAGGGAGGAAGTGTAAGAACGTTTATTTGCTCATTTTTAAGCAGACAGTTATGTGATGCTAATATCTTAATATGCATCATACTCTTGTTTTTAACCTTGATAGGGATTATTTCTCTAAGCTTAAGCAAGTTCTCTAGTTTCATATTATTTTGTTTTATTATATTCAAGTAAAATCTGATTGTTTTAATCATAAACCTAGCAATTTATTATAGCTCCATTTTATAAAATTATTTCTATCTATTAACTTACTCATATGCATTCATTGAAATATTTTAGAATGATATTGACTTAATGTTAATTATAATTATTTCTGAGTGGTGGAATAATGATTTAATTGCATTAAATGATTTAAATGATTTAATTTGCTTTCTTTTTTGTTCTTATTGAATACGTTTGATTCATTTTAAAAGAATGAGAATCATTATTTACATACCAAAAACCATTTATTATGAAAAAGTAATCATGTCTACCACCATTTTTTCTATTTTTTTCAATTTAACAGGGATTGAATCCTTTAAAATTATAGCAGATAGTATAATTAAATGATATCAATTTTGAAAGAAAATACTCAACTTAGAAAACATCCAGGTAAATATTAGTTCATCTGAGGAAAGACAATAGTGTTTTGAAAACAGCACTACAGAAATCCAACAATTTACGAGGTCACAAAAATTTTTGCATAAATAAAAATTATTTTTAACTGAAAGCCATCATTTACAATAGTTAGACTCATGCTGATAATCATAAAACACAATTCTCTTAATCATAACAAGATATTAATGAACAAGCTCAAATCAGAAACCTGAAAACATTTGTGACTTCCAAAAATCTGACCCCCAAAAACCTGAGAAACACTATTTCTCCGTATTATGTGAACATGCAAAACATGAGATGGCTAAAAACAACAACAATAACAACAAAACACCCAGGGATTCAGAATGTAAAATACTTCAACAGGTTGAAATAACTATAAATATGACAATAATTATGAATGTGTGAATATGTAAGCTCTTTATGTGAATGAAAGGGTTGGGAACTAATACATCAGTGAATATTAGCATTTATCACCTCTTGTCAAGGTGAGATTGCTAATTGAACCGAAAATGATTTCTGAAGTTAGAGTTTTCCTCAGTGTCCCCACCAGCTCCTTCACCCGTGAAGATGGGGACTACCGGTTTGAGAAACTTGAACTCGCTGGTCCCAGTACCTCCCTTCAGACACACCTCATACTGGTGGCTCTGGGACAGGGTCCCAGTACCGCCGACGTCCACCAGGTGGCCCGGAAAGTGGCCCTCAGGCACCGAGCAGCGACCCAGCGAGGCGGCCCTGC